GGGGAGGGGATGGGGAGGGGAGGAGAAGAGGAAAACGCTCCTGATTGCGAAGCAGGACATCGAGCAGCTCCGCTTAAGCAGTAGTGCCCGGGACCGCCCCTGCCTCATCTGCCCTGCTCTCGCCCGGCCCCGAGTTTATTGTGTTTGGAGAGGACGGCAGAGAGGGCCTCCTCCCTTCGGCCTCGGCACGGTGTGGTGGCCTGCCCGCTGCTGTCGCTGCTGCTGCACACCACAACGGAACGCAAACAGAGCGCTGCAACAAAACCTCTGCAAAGTACAAGCCGGGAGACGAACTTTAGAACGGGACGCGTTGTTGTTGTTGTTGTTGTTAGTTGTCGCGAGGTCACACGCAATCATCAGGAAAAAAAAAATACTCGTTTCACGGGGGTGCACCCAGAAAAGAAATCTGTTTCTTGTTTCAAGAACAGTTTTCCTTATTGATTCAAGTAAATGCTTCTCCAAGATCAATTCGAATTCGAGGCGTCCGTGCAACAATATCCTATCTGTTTATATAGGCTTGCCTCGAAAGACAAGCCTATCTGTTTTGCTGCTCCTAAAGACTTTCGACTTTGCTCTGGGAATAAGAAACATTTTTTCTGAGTGTACAAAAAGCATTCTGACACATTTAAGCTTTTTCGATTGGGTTTCAGTATGAAATGTTTTAAATGTGTCAGGTGCTAAAAAGAGTCGGAAGTCGGCGACGCGAACACGAGTTGTAATGTAGCAGACGGGCGGTCGAAGTAGCACGCTGGGAGGCAGGCGCAGAAAAGCTGGACGGGGCGGAGGGTCGCCGACGAGCAAGTTAACGACTTGTCGGCCCCTTGGGGGGGCGACCTCCGCCGCCCGCCCCGCGTCGCTGGCGTGAGGCCCGCGACGAACGCTCCGGGGCCCTCGAGAAGGTCCCCGACGACGACGACAGCCGTGTCTTGCGTGATGGGCCACAAAGCCCACCCAGGGCGCCTCCTGCCTACCTACCGCGCGCCGTCCTCCCGCGCCCCCTCCCCGGGGCGCACCTTTGTCTCGGGGACGACCCCTTCGTAATTGCGGGCAAGGCACTGCGACCCCTCCCCCCCCCCCAGAAGACGAATTGTGGGGTCACAACACACAATGGTGAAGGTACAAACCTTTTTTAATTTTACAAGTTAATTCATGCGGATGAGAATAATTGACTGTGACACTGTCGTCACTCAGATTTGCCGCATCAGAGGCAAAAATTAGCCACCAAAATTTTATGCCTACAAAATCCACCTCCGGTGACGACAGCATCGCCATACTCTTTCAGCAATGCGTAAACAACATCTTTAGGAAACGAATTAAATAGTAACGGCGAGTCAGCGCCCCTTATGGCGTGAGCGCGGGAGGAGCAGCAGGAACTGGAACAAGTTAGCCTCTTTAGCAAAACAGACGTCCCAGAGGAAGGAGGGGGGGTGCGGCTGTGTAGCAAGGACGTTGGCGCGGCTCGGCACAGAGGGCCGCGGGGCCGGTGGGACTGCGGCGAGGGATTTCCTTTCCCCTCCCCCCGTTGTACGCGTCCCCCGCGCGCGCTCCCCGCGTTCTCTCGAACCGCGGTGTTTTACTCTCTGCAGGTGAGAGGGAGGCGGGCGGCGCGGCGGGGTGGGGAGCGCCTGCGGGGTCGAGGGTAGGCCATCCCGCAGTGCGCTGGTGTGCGACGGGTCGGCCTATCAGCAAGCCCACAGGCGCGCTCCTCGCAGCGACCAACCCCACCGTCTATTTAAAAACTAACTAATAATGATAATAGTGTGTTTCACCCCAGGGGATAATCACTTGGGTGCGTAGCGTATGGACTATTTCGTGGTATTTCCCTTGCCATTTCGGTTATTTCTCGCCTATTTCGGATTATTTATTCAGGTTATTTCGCGGTATTTCACAGTATTTCGGGGGGTATTTCGCGACTATTTCACCAACTATTTCGCGTCAACTTCAGGTCTTTTTCGCTCTATTTCGCCTTCATCTCGCCTTAATATCGGACTATTTCGAGGAATGGTATACGAACTATTTCGCAAGTGATTTCCCCCGGTTTCAGCTCCCAAAAATATATTTTTTTTTTTTAAATTCCGGAGAATACTACACACGCGTGCAGTGCCGTGAATGGACGAGCGGGGAATGGCGAGCGCCTGAGGACCGTAGCTGTGCCAGCTGACCCAGCTGTGCGGCGGTGTGCAGCGGGCGGGCCTATCTGCAGGTTCGCAGGCGCTCCTCGTAAACACCGCACAGATTGCGCCGCGGAAAAAATAAAT